CATCAGGTGGGCCGTCAGCTTATTTGCCATTCTAAGTTGTATAAAAAAAACTTGTTGGCCATTACTGTTGTACTAAGAAACTTCAAAATATGCCATAGAATACAAAGAAATACTATATACTCTATACTTAAATTTATTCACTTAAACCGATGCGTGTTCGGACCACATAAAATTCTAAGCAAAGTGCATTTTAGTGTAATTGATCTCGTATCGTGATATAATATCCCATCATTATTTAGAAAAATTTATGTTACTTAGATAACAATCCTCAATTCATCGAATAAAGTAATATATCTAATTGAGATGGATTTCTTTTCAATAGTAGCACTAGGAAAAGTGGAAACGATGTGATGGGATGCATGCTTTATTCTGTCACACGCAGTTCCACTCAGCGAGCCGGTTAATTGCTCTATTGCACTCGAAAATTATAATTATGTTTTCACCTAGACCGTGTAAGTACTAATATTTGTATGTCTAGACAATTTCAGCTATACCCGTCTTACCTACTCTTTATTTGTTTGGAAAATGTTTGTATAAACCGCACAAGTGATAGTTAAGAACGTGTAGATATCTTATGAGATTAAATCCTATAGAGAGCAAAAGAATCATCAAAATCAGTTTAGAATTTATAAAGATAACTAATAACATGAGAAAAGACAAAGAATCCATGCGAAGGTTCTTAAGCTTCTCAAGTGGGAAGTCACTTAAAACAAACCTTTTACTATAAAAACAATTTAAGGTAGACAGATCGCGTGAATTAGATTGATGTTTAATTGATTGATGGGTATATTAATCGCCAATAATGACTTGGTGCACAAATAATTATTGTCAATCAATATATCATGACGTGACCTATAGGTACGTGAGCACGAAGCCGATTGATAGAGTGAATTATGTAATGCTTATGGACCATACAAAATGAAAATCGTGCGCCGTACAGCGAACAAACTAACCGCCTAATGAAAGTGGTAGACGTCACTATAGGTATCTAACAGAGTCTAGATTATCTGTTAGGCATGAGTAATATCGGTGTCGTACCGATATCTGTAAATCGAGTTCCTCTCGACTTTCATGGCGAAAAAGTCTATATTAATTTCAATTGGGTTCTTATACAAGTGTACTCATCCTAATCAATAACTATATTTGAAAGTGAGTTTGTTATCTTATGGCGCTTTAACGGTTTAACCACACTATGAAACAATTATTTGGATGTTTAAGATGCTGTTTAGACATTCCATCCTCGCTATTGGATACAGGTGACGGGATGCCTTTTATAAAGGGTTCACTATGTTAAATATGTTCACATGTGTTTACATGTTCTAAATAAGGTGAAGAAGGATATAGACTATTTTCAGACGAAGTCGTAGGTAAAACCTAGTATTACATAATGTTAGTCTAGAAAGTCAGTTACAGGTGATTTGTTATCAACAGGCTTTTTACCTTTTAGGGGTTTTGCCAGTAGCTGCCACGCTTAGCAGACCCCATACGGGCAAACGCAGTGTAGGACGACCTCCTACTAGATGGAGTGACGACCTGAAATGCATTGCAGAGGTCTATGTCCAGCAGTGGACGAATAATGGCTGAAATGATGATGATGATGAATGATGAAGCTTTTTATATATATGTTTCTTACACAAATCTTAGTGTGGCCATGTATTACTTCTACTCCGTTAAACCTTCTTTACTCGATACTCTCAAAGTGTTGATAATTATTATGGCATAATGATTATTTATTCGTAGTTTATGTTCTACTAGCAGGCTCCAAGAATACCTACGATTTGAAGAAAACGGTCAAGCTATTCTCGCCGCATTGGTCTGCCGTGATTTCTTTCAGTTTTCTGGGATACAAGATGCACAAAAAATTGTCAAAAATATTTAAGAAATGACGCGTTAAGTAGTAAGTAATTTTGATTGTCGCACACTGAAAATTTATCTTTTTTCCAATTAAAAGAAAAGTCTGAAAGAAGTCATATCGAAAATATAATATTGACAATAATAGTAAATATAAATAGATATATTACTAATGGCTTGTGATACAAAAGTCATTAAAATCGCAAGTTAAATAAAATTTGAAAAACGCAGTATGAGTAAAGTTGAGCTCCCTGTCGAAGTATAATTTGTAGACAACACTCCATCTATGTACATGTTATCATCTAAGTAATGAATGGTTAACGTCTCTAATATAAAATTTTTATATTCGTTAATACCAATAGCCAATTAAAATATCCACGTCCCTAAAATTCGTGTAGAATTAATTACAGTCGTAAAATATATTTGGACAGGTTCTGTGAATCTATTAGCTTACTATTTACCTAGTTAGTATCAGTCGGTCACGATAAGCAAATTAGAAAGTAAAAAAAAATTGATATCTCTTTAAATATTTAAATCGGACCGGTCTTATAAAGCGAAATATGGAAATAAAATTAGAAAGATAAGGTATCTTTCTAATTTTAGTCAGTCAATGAAAATATAAATTCTTATACAGCGATAGTAAACAATGTTGAAATAAATATGTCTTATTTAGTTATAATTTTTGTATATAGTGCGATATCTTCGCCAATTCTGAATCCATTTTGATATTTTTTTTTTTGCAATTGATAAGGTTTTTCCTTAGTTTGATACACTTAGACTAAGTGTACCATTATTCTTATTTGATACGGGCGACTGGAAATTGATAAGATTTAGTACCATCACAGCACAAATCACGAACGTGATGGACCGATATCATCAAAACGACCACACAGCAATCTATTGTGGAATGCTCTCGTTCGGTCATGAGCCGAAATAGATGGAGACACATTGCGAGGACCTCGATCGCGATGAAGAGCGTCATCGACAATACTTTATAATCATGAAAACCATGACCACTTTGTCAAGAGTGCATGACTAAAGAAAGAGAGCGGAGGTCGGTTTGACAGGGGATGCCTATCTAACAATTGCTAGCAATAAGATCGCAAGTCACTATAACAATCTTCTCTGTTAATTATATAGGTAGGTACGAACTGCAGCGGTCTCTTTCATTTACAATACAGATAATGGGGGTGGGTAATATATAAGAATATTTATATATTTTAATTACAATATTTATATACATATCACACAAAAATTAAAGATGTTACAGTCACAGTTAAAAAACTTAAATGGAAATGGACAGGGCATACAATTAGAGGGAGAGATAAATGGAGTTTTTTTTATGGGTGAAAATGGTATGGTAACCCGCCTGCGCTAACGGGATACGCTGGCGGAGCACCAGTGTAGGGTGATAGATGAGAATGAAAACAGGCCAGTTAGCCCATCATGATGAATTCAACAGGAATTAACCATGATAGTTTCAAGGGAGAACCGCGAGGAGGTCGATCTGATTGGGTATATTGCTAGCAATGGGATTCTCAGTCTATTACTAACAATCCCTTTCCCCCCAGATAAATGGAGTTAAATGATAATGTTTTGGTATACAAAAGACAAAAAAAAAGGAGAAGAGGAAAACCACATAGAAGAGGGTTAGATGACATTAGGGCTGAAGTAGGTGGAATGTGGCCAAGAATCGCTAGCAATACCATTGTAGGTAGTAGGAAGAAACATTTGCTGATAAGCAAACAGACGACAGCATTTAAATAAATAATAAATTGTTATAAAAAAATGTTATGTGTGAATAAAGACTTATTATTATTAACTATATATTTACCCAATGACGAATATGTTAAAATATCTATTATCGAATATACAATTTTAAAAATGCACACGTCTGTAATCCCACATGGGTTAGCGAAAACTATTTCTCCATTGTTGTACAAGTACAATTATACTTATATTTAAATAAATACTTATTAACTTACCTATAAGCCCCTCCAAAAATTGCAAATTAAATTCAAAACTAAACGTGAACTGTTTCAATTAACACAAACATTAAATACACATCAGATCACAGCGCATTGTCAAATTAACTGCCGTTAACAAATTCATCGTAAAGTTTAAATACTGAATTTACTGTGTTTTATAGTCACAAACTGAAAGATGTCATCTAATAATTCAAATAGTGCTGGGTCTTAGAAATTGTTGATATACCTAAGTCTTATATAAGTAACAATAAGAAAATTTTCAAACGACGTCGAATACAATTTCCGTTTTGTTTGTTACACGAGCGTCGTACATACGCGATTGTTAACGTAATTGCTTGAATATTTTTGCGACGTGCGAAAAGAATGATGCTCTTGCGGCGTGTGAAGATCACTTGCGCGGGCGCCGCTCGCATGCACTCAATTCAATACTATATGAAGCTCTAGTACCTACGTTGCGTGCCATCGTTACATATGCCGCGATTATGGTATTTTACGAAAGTTATCCATTTTTTGGATATGTATGGTTTTATTGTATAATTGCTGTTGTTACGGTCCTTTGCCATAACGGTGATCAGAACGAGGCGGTGGTATTTTCAATAGATAAGCACGTTGATTGCCTTCATAAAAAGATTTAAATATCTATAATTCTTAGATTATACCTACAAATTACAGAATCCAGATCAAACTGCTCTGGATTCTGCATTGCCTATGAAATTTGTCGTCGTACTTAATTAAAAAAATATGTAAATAAACGATTTAATTACCTACGAAAGTTTATGTAACTTATACGAAGATAGACTTATAGAAAAAAAAAACCAAAATTTATTACAGGTATTTACGCAAAACCCGTTTTTAATTGCTACCGTATACCTCGATGATCAAAATGAAGAAAATGTGTTTAACATAAAAGGTAGAATGATCTAATATTAGAAAGTAAAATAATATTTTTATTATCCGAGGGAAAAGTCAGTAATGGGGTCTAAACCATATCTGCCTAACGAACTCATTCCTAGTAATATATTCTGTCAAATCGACCTCTACGCGATAGCCTCTGGAACCCGTCATGAAAAATTATTCACAATAGACAAACTTTTTGACTTGGTGCTCACATCACATTTGATTTCATTAAATATACAAAAGGAATACAAATCAATAAACAGCTTCGTATAAAATGGAATTTATTCAAGTAATTATAAATCTAGACTTAACAAACTAATCTATATGAAATGTATCTTCCAGCCGTTTCTGACGATCTTATAATTTTCACCACCTGCAAAAAGAACTTCTCATAATAAGGGAACATAATAAGACTAGCCTAATAATAGATATACAATTTCTTTATACGACTTAGAATGACAAATAAGTGGGCCGTCACCATTTGATAAGTAGTAACCGCCACTTGTACATATGGTATAAACATCACAGGCTTGTATAAATTATACATTTAGCATCTTCGTAGTCAGTTTCAGATATCTATCTAGACTATGAGGTCTTATATCTATCCTTATACCAATGTAAACGACCTGTTTTGATCTTGATTGTTTCTCAAGCATGTGCTAACAAAAATGTATCTACCGACAGATTTTCTTAATAGGTGAAGTCTACGAAGACTGATCTGCTACGCGCGAAGGATAGGAAAAAATTATTTATTTATTTACTCAAAAGAAAATTAACAGACAAATCACTTACAGATATAGTGACATATATCTGTAGTCCTATCCCATTAAGCAACCTTCACCAATAAAAAGATCCAACAGCCCAGATAACATATTCGTCATCATCTGTAATTTTACTGCCATAATCCATACTTTTGAAATCGAAAACCAGCCATGCAAATACAACTTTTACATAAAATCTATTTCTGATTCACCTTAGCTAATGATAAGTGTGGAGTGATCTAATACTTTTTACATTTTTTTTTTCATTTCGAGAAAAGATAAATATGATGCTACACCACAGCATTTTTTTTTTCATTTAGTCTCTTATTTTTAATTTAGACATTGTATTGTGTAGTTTTATAACAGATCTTGTTGTTTTTTTTTGCTATTTTATAACCTATTTTTTATGCACTTTAAAATGGCAAACAAGTTAACGGCCCACTTGATGGAAAGTGGTAACCGTCGCCTATAGACATGAACAGCACCATAGGCATAAGAGAGTATATTGTTTCATCCATGATAACCCCCATGCATTGTCATTTCTGAGGACTAAGGTGTTATGCCTCTGTACCCTGCTAATAAACGGTAAGAGCTTCAAATCTGTTTAGTCATTTTAACACAATTAAAATAATAAGAAATAACTAAATAAACATCATAAATAAACTCTGACCTATATAATACCTATATAAACACGTAGTTATCACTAAAATAGGTCATTGCATTATTCATTGCTACACATATACAAACCATTGTTTGCAACTAGATATAAATCATGGAACAGTTGTGCACACATAAATCATAGTTGAACGTCGAAACAAATTTCGTGTCAGATACCGACAATATTACTACACAAATTGTACATCATATCGACCTATAATTTGTATGAAGACCATACAACTAAGTCACGATGCACACTTACTCGCACATATTATTCAAGAGGATGTGTCATTTATAAAACACATAGGTTTTTATAGGGAATAAAAAACTAAAATCTGTAAAAAATTCACAATGATTCAATCTTAGGAAGGAGAACGCATTTTTAATCGTATTTTACTTTTAAAGTTTTCATGTTTGTGTGTTTTTTTTTATATTATATAGTACCACAAGAGAAAATCAAAATTTAAACCAATTTCACCACAATTGAGACTAATATTTTTGGATTTTCTTTTCCTATTTAATTATTAATTAAATTTAATGCACTCATTTGTAAATTCTTAATTATTTGCATATGATATCAAGACTGCAGTATCATGAAACATGTACATGAATATTTTTTTACTTTTTTAAAATAGTTGTGTATCCTTAAACACTATATTGAAACTATACTACAGTTTTGGTGAAACTTGACTGAACTTTTTTGAATTTATATAATTTTAATAAAATTTATTTTAATGTTATATATTCTTAATACTTAGATTGAAATTTTTTACCTTTTTACTCAACCAGTATCCTAAATTTATTTGAGAAATATCATACTTTATAACAAAGTATTACATTTCTCGTAGATGTTTTACCAACTAATTTTACATACTAGACCAACAAATATATGTATTTTAAAATATTTATAAAGCAAAGTATATGACTGTACATACCTGTCCTCTTTTAAGTCCAAAATATCTAGCAACAGGATCTCCAGCCTGTATTCTCATTAACATGTTCTCCTTTAATTTACTGTGTACATTGTTAAGGTAATTGTAATATTATGTTAAAATTTTAATCATTAATAAATAAATCACTACTTTAAACTTTTGAATTGGGCAGGGTTAAAAAACTGAAAACTGGACCACTATCTAAAAAATTCCAGGGCTAATGCCAATTACATTACTTTTGGCAATGCGCATCATAGGCTACAGTGATTGTTTACCATTAGACAGGCTGTATGATTGTTTGCCACTTTTGTGGTATAAAAAAAATTGTGCTAGTGGTTTACAAGATGCTGATCTCAAAACTTATAATTTAGATGTTCTAGTACTATCTAGTCTTAAATTAGGCAGTATTAGTAATATAGATATTAGATAACTGACAGACATTAATTATCTTAATAATACTTAGTTATACGTAATATATGTAATAATAATAAAAGGATACTATCTAGCAAGCAGCTCTTGTTTTTCATCAGGAGTAAGCACTATATGCTCTGGTACCAATTCATGTTCTGTTATATTAATCAGCAATTCAGACTCTAGGAATTGTTCTAGAATATACTTTGGTGCCATGTCCACTAATGATTGTTTTGCTGAAGGTGTCATGCCTGAAATCACATTTATTATTAAGAGTAAGAAGCATTATTCATTGTGCATAAAAAAGAATGCAACAACAAATTTTTGCAGTCATGTCCCCCAAACTCATGCAGTAAGTTTTGAGAAACTAGTGGAGAAAAACACCTACCATTTCTTCTTTCCAAAAATTACATGAATCTGTTTTATACAATCACAGTTAACTCCTCAGTTAATACTTAACATACATAAACAAAGCAAATACATTATTCTCGCATTAATACCTATAGCACTTTTTTAAATCAATAAATAACAATTTATTTCACATTTTGTACTTATTACATTAATATTACCTGCTTGAACTACCACAATAGCTCTATGAATATTCTCTTCTTGCATTCTAGTACAATAAGTCTTAATAGTTTTAATTCCTATTTTGGGTTCATCTGGGAAGAACACGAACATTTGGTCTGTGGGGTCATCATTGTGAGCTACTAATACAATCAAGTCACTGCGAGCAGGCCGCTTTTCACTGTAATTAAATATGAGCATAGATTAATAATGGCATCATTTTTTTTCTTCACATGAATACCAAGAACTATATTATTTATTCTACCAATAGGAACTAAACTTATTTCTGGATACCCAATATATTGTCACTGGTTAAAAATAATAGACACATGTCATTAATTCTATGTCATTATTCATTTACAACCACTTATCGTTTACTTCCACTGGGCACTTCCTTGAAAATGCAGATTATTGATGAGAAAATTAAGTTTCCCCCTGACAGACTGACTTTCAAACAATCCCTATGAGGCTGGCATAGTCACTCTGGTATACTAAAGCCTTAACAAAAAATTGATTAAAAAAAAAGAAATCATTCTCTTTCTTTACACAAATACCAAGAACTCTATTATTTATTCTACCAATAGTAACTAAACTTATTTCTGGATATCCAATATATTGTCACTGGTTAAAAATAATAGACACATGTCATTAATTCTATGTCATTTTTTATTTACAACCACTTATCGTTTACTTACACTGGGCACTTCTTTGAAAATGCAAATTATTGATGAGAAAATTAATAAGAACATAAAAGAAAGAACAGTGTCCGATACAGCGAGGCTATATATAGGTATGGTTTGACACTAACCTTGGTTTATCACCAAATTGCTCTTTAAACTGCTCCAATGTTTGGTCCAATTCATCTTGAGTTACTAAATATCCTCGATCATGGCAAAGCTGAAGAAATAATAATAACATATTTAAAATAAATGTAAATAAATTTTCCCCTATGTTGTTTAGTGTGGCAAATTCTATACAATAAATTACGACTATCGACGATGAAATAAATATGAAGTAAGTACACAAATTATTGAATTATTAAACTTTTTATTTATTAAACTTTATAACATAGAAATAACCTCACCTGCATAACAGTTTTTCTAATACGCCATAATTTATATGTTTCCGCATCGTCATCCATTGTTATTTACTGTAGTAATAGGGTATTAATATTGATTTTAAGAGTTATAAGTTAATAGATATTTAATCTTATAAATTTGCAACCTATAAATTTTATATAAATTCAAAACTATGAGAAAGACTGGATTCAATGACTTATACACATAGATTAAGGATAGTTGTTGTCGCTGTTTTAAAATTTGTCCAAAAAAAATGAAAAGGCAAAGAGCATGGCCCATACAGCTTAGTCATGAGTATCAGTTTTTTATGAATGGAGATAAAATTATTTCATAAGTATTTTTTATTAATCTTCATAGAATCGGTAACTATCAAGCGTCAGAATTCTTCATGAATACAATACGTATAAAATAGTTTCCATTTTAACTTACTTTTCGTGTAATTATAAATATATTAATAATATATTTCGTACAGTTCAATATATATAAATCTTATTTCTCTTATATATAAATTTTAAATTCTAAATAATATTTCTATATGTTATTCATAGATAGGAAGAGAATTTATATATTTCGTAGAAAAAAATACATCAACAGTATTATATACAAAATTAAATAACAAAAAATATATACTTTAGGATCTTTCAGATCATTCAAAGAATGCAGGACAAATTCAGCCTTAATAAAAATTTGAATTAGCCCTTCAATTAGCACAAGGCGCTAAATGCTAAACAATGAAAAGGTGATGTAAAGATTGATTGTCCCCTGTATGGAAGAATTTATACTGAGGACTAGTTGTCATAGTAAGACAGAAAAAATGAAAATGAATGAAGAATCGACAATGACCAAATTTAAAGCTACAAACAGTAGAATAATTGTTACATTTATAAAACCAAAGGCCTTTATTTAAAATAGCTGTAGAATAAGTGAAATGTCTCTTCAAATTATTGGTCATTCTCTCTTTAATAAGATTTATGATATTTGTGTAAGGTAATAAATAAAATAGGGGAAAATTTGCCAGACCGAATTTGCAAAATAGAATCCTACCACAGATTAAGGAGAGTATAGATTTTTTTTTTAAGTGGAAATCAAATATTACAGAAGAGACAAATGTAGTATGTCTTCTGCAATATTTGATGCCCAGTCTTAATTAATGTATACGAATCTGTGATTTGACTAAACAGCCAAGTTCTGATAAACTTTTTTTTTTACATTAGGGATAGTTGTTCCTTGTTTATTTTTTTTAATAACTTCGTCTATTAGAAAGATAAACAAACCTAAAAGAAAAAAGATTTTTGAGACGGTAATAATGTTTTTTCCCTTTTGTGGCATTCATTTAGATTATAGAACATTTTGACACAATCAAGACGGGGGAAGGAACTAACGCATATTTGAAGAGATAGAATTGAGTCTGGAATATTTATAGAATATGCATATAGGATAGAACATATATGTGAATGTGCTGTCTATGTAATATAATCTGTGATGTACAAGTTCTGCTGCGCCTTCTGAGTAATCTGTAACTGCACTTTTGTCTTCTGTCATTGAATGTTGATTTTTATGTGATGTTCGTTTAGTGAAGTTTCTGATTTTTCTAATTAATAATATACTTTATTCCCGTCTATTATAAGCTAAATAAATATTATTAAGAAAGATGGCTGGTATTAAAGGTATGTTTACTTAATTTTGTTGAAATCCAACATATTATTAATATTAGTGTGTTACCAAATTGTGAAAGTCATTTTTATTTTTTAAGAATGACTCACTTTATTTACCAACAATCACTATTCTAATTTATTATGTTTTTTTTATTTACATGTAATCATCGTCAACAATAATTAGGGTGAGTATAATTTATACACGGTTTTAAACAAAGTAAAGCTCCAAATAGAGTCAGTCACCTTTATTGCTGACTTGAATTAAGCCATCTAGATTACTCCATAATATACCTATTATTTTAATGTTTGCGTCGAATCTAATAATGAAAAATATTGTTAGGTACTTATTATATTATTATATTCTGAAATTTTCTTTTGTATGAATAATTAGATAATGAACCTTCAATAGTAGGAAATAGGTACCTACTTATAGAAATACTATTGAATGAATTTCTTTGTAGATGCATACGCCGGAGAGAAAGCTACTAAAAAGCATATTTACGAAATATGTGTACAGTTTTGCTTTAGTTTGTTTTAAAGTTATATCTATTGATAGTTGTTTTTTAATATCTAAGAATGTGCATACCAAAGTGTGTCAACGTCTGCATTAACTATCTACATTTCAAAAACATTCATTTAATAATTATCAAAAAAATAGTTTTTCCTTGCACTAAAGCCTTAAAACATTAATCACCAAACAAATTAAATATATAATTTTTTTTTTTTCAAGAATTTAATAACAAATTTCTTAATTGGTTTTTCAAGTTACTATAAAAATATTACTAAAAATTGTTTTATTCCATCAAGTTGCAAAACACCATGATATCAAAACCTTTTGGTCTTTTATGTCAATGATTGTTTAAAGGAATAATATTAATATTTACCTATTTACTTATGGTTACAAGTTTCATGAGTACCCATTATATTTAATCAAGCATTTCCAACTAAAATGCATGTAAGTCAATCTAGTTCTTTTTACAATTAAAAGTGTTTTTATATAAGTCCATAAGTACAACTAAAGTTCAGCATATGACATTAGGATTATACTATACAATACTAGTTTTCAATCAAACCATATTGCATGTTTTAGTGGACTATAAGAGTTCTTATTTAATTATTATTCAGACTGTTATATAGAATTTGTTTAATTATATTTAAGTTTGTTAGGTTTGACACACTTAAATATAAAAAACACACAGTCATTGCCAGTTTTGTTCTTAAAACAAAAAAAATTAAATTTTTCAGTTTGGTGTCTCTCGCATTTTTGGGATCTATAGGAATGACATTTGTCATACTAGCATGTGCTCTACCACAATACAAGTAAGTTACTTTTTATTTAATTGATATACAAGTAGACTCTCTCAAAAAAAAAAACACCAACTTTAATCATAAAATATCCAAGTATTCTGATTTAAAAACTATCTTACTGAACCAATTTTGATAAAACTTCTTTGGGACTGATCTAAAAGTATATCCTTCAAGTTAGTAAAAAAAAATCGAAATCAGTTTATAAATGATGAAATTTTTAAATAATAAGCTTAAAAATAGAATCTAATAGAGAAATTATTTCTACAAAACCTATAATTTTATTTTGTCATTTCCATTGAAACGTATATATACATATACCCATTTAAAGACGCTCACACACACACACACACACAATCTAGTAACTATTGTTGTGATATACTATAGTGTAATTTTTATTTCCTTCTAAATTTTATAATTACTCTAGCCAGTACAAATTTATATCGCTAGGTCAGTGAAAACCTGTTGTTGGCTTTTTATATGGATAAGTTGTAGTTGTTTTAAGCTATAAATTGTAAGCTGTTGGTATTCCAATAAATAAATAAATAAACATTCCCTTTTATATGTAGTAGATTGAAAATGGAGATAATTGATATAAAAAAGTGAAATATATAATTAGGTATTGAAGATTGAATGCCCAGAACTAAATTATGTACTTATTTGTCGTCTAACAATGAATTTTATTACATTTATAAGTATTTTTATTTTTAATGTGTGATAATAATATAATAAACCCGACTGCCCTACTGATATATGCTGGTGGGGCACCAGTGAGGATGAATGCAGATCAGTTAGCCCATCATAATGAATTCTACTAGAATTAACTATGGTTTCCAGGAGGAACCATGTGGAGGTCTACCTGATAGGGTGTTTTGCTAGCAATGGGTTAGTTTGAACCCATTTATAACAATCCCTTTCCCCCCTATTTATGAGTAGTTTAAACTAATATTTATATGAAAAACATTGTATAATGCTTCCTCATCCTAAAACTTACCTAGTGATCTCTTTCAGGCAACCTTAATTTTATTTTATTCTTTCAGAATATGGTGGCCATTCTTTGTAGTTTTGTTTTACGTGTTATCTCCGATTCCAACAATGATTGCTCGTCGTCAGTCCGACAGTACTGGTGGGACAAACTCCCCGTGCATGGAAACTGCGATCTTTATAACTATGGGCTTCATTGTCAGCTCTTTTGCACTCCCTATAGTGCTCACCCGAGCAGATGTGGTTAGTATAGTTTAGTATAATATATTACTTAAAATGATATACAAAATTAAGTAAACAAAGATCTAGATAACATTATTTACTTCATAAATTGCATAGGGCAGAAGAAAATAAAATTTATAAGTATGTTAATTTTCAGTTTATAGTTTAAGTGCAGTGTAAACTTGATATCTATCTAGACTAGATCTCAATTTGCAATTTCTACATGCAATTTTGCTAATAATTCTGACAATTCTTTCTGAATGATTATTTAAAAGTGTTCATAACTTTATAGAAGTGTGATAATGTTGCAATTATTAGTAGATTTTCTAAAATAATTTAAAATGTTCAATATTTCTATTTATTTAATTTTCAACTAACTAAAACATTAATTATGCAATAATATTCTTATTAAACTGTCATTGAACATTTTTATTTTGATAGCAAAAATATATTTTAAATATTCCAAAGCAAAACATGTATTAGGTGCAAAAATTTTAGGGGTAGAATTTATATACAACATATTTTATTATTAATGTTTTAGTTCACTAACAGAACACTTTAAAAAAAAAAACAATTAGAAACATCGAAAGTTGTTTAATACTTTTTGAAAATTTGAAACTTGAGTATTTATTTATACTTTTTTCAATCTGTTAAATTTTTGGTCAAAATTGTCCACAGATTCAGTTGGGAGCATGCTGCTTGACTATTGCTGGTAACATCATAGTCTACCTAACGATCCTCGGTTTCTTTACAGTCTTTGACATGGATGATTCTGACTACACTATGTGGTGAGAGATTTAGGAGCTGCCTTTGTTATTAACTGTAAGAGACGATTCAAAGCAAACAAATTTTTTGTATTATAGGATATGTTGTGGTTTTGTGTATACTTAATGTAAGTCTGAAAGCAATTGGTACTTTAGTGTTAGTGTTAACAGACTGCCGTTGTGGATACCTGGGCTTATTTGCTATTCAATGCTTTTATATCTACATTTAGTTTAATACAAGTACCCTGTTTGTAATAATATTACATCATTTTGCATTACAATAATTTTATAATATTTTGGTACAATCAGTAATTATCAGAGTTACCCTGTCATTATTGGTAATAAATAACATAAAACAATAAATAATATTAAATCCTTGGATGTGATATTTTATAGTTCCACTGGAATAAACGTAACTATGAAAAATATAATAATTTTTATTATTATTGTGTTACTTTACCATATTCAATTGTTATGTAAACCAATGAATCACTTAATGTCTTAGAATGTATTTGAATTTGTATTAAAACTTCTACCATTAATGTTTGTTTGAAATGTAGAAATCGAACAAAACACGAACTTGATTTTAAAATCATAAAAGAAATGTCAAATCATAATTAAATTTTCACTTTAGGGTATCGTGGTAGACTTTATGACGCAAAAAATGTTTTTACGTCTATCCTATTTTCTATAGCACCTGTCTTATCTTAGGTAAATTAGAAATTTCATAACATTTTCTAAATTGAATGGCAGGTTATAATTCAATTATTATAACCATCCACTTGATTTGTTGGTCATTATTACATCGGCAAAAGTGAAGTTAAAATTGTGTACGAGTAATAATAGTCGAGTTATCAATATTTTATTAAAAATTAAAGGTATCTGTGCATGGTATTTATTTTAGACCTTTAAGTAAAAGAGTTGTGATTCATAAGATTGTTTCTCCATTAAGGTAACAGTAAAGATCCATCACTGTAGCAAATTTTTCACAAACTTCTTTGTGTAGAGCTTACATAGAGATGACTAAACAATCCTGTTAATTATGAATGAACAATAATAATCCCATGACAGCTATTGACTGGATGTGAAACCAGACAAAAATATCTGGGAGTGAGACAATTTAGATTTGGTTTAGTAACCTGATTGAGAATCGAAACCAAGACCTAATTCACGTAAAGAAACATACCTATTACAGTGTCCTTGCCCTTGAAGCTATTGTTGATAATGTCATCCCTTATGATGTTCTATAACAATAACCAATGACTACACAGTATCAGTTCTAACCAACAATATCCAGACTATTGTGAATAATTATTTATATGATTTTAACACAAATTTTGACTGTACTGAATTCATTGAATTTAAACTTTTATTTTTGAATCGGTCTGTTAGCTATACAATTAATTGAATTTCACTTTATAGATATTTTCAATAATTTTCTATGATTATTACTCCTTTATTCATTACAATCTAAATTAAATTATGAAATAAATTTGTGCACGAATATCTCCGACTACCTACATCTTCAGAGTTCAGTAAAACCAACTATGTTACAAAATACAGGTGAAGCACAATAAAATAAATTGATGACTGTAAAATATTGTAAAATACAGATAACAACACAAAAAAAATCAATAATATTCGTTTACATTAGATGACAATATAGTATATTTTCGGTTGATTGAAATGTAATAGGAAAATGTGTATATTACAAAAAAGTACATTGTATTTTGATATAAAAAAAGTGCATACGAAAATATTATAAATTTTGAGATTTTCATATTTTGATGCAAGCATTGTTATAATAAATACATGCCCAACATTAAAATTCAGTTTAATATTATGGATTAAGTAATATTAGAGTAAGAAAATTATAACTTATAAACATATTTTTTTATTACCATATGATATTTTCATTTACTTTTGTAAAAAATTTAAATGTAATTTACGCCTGTTGTTATTCCTAAAGCACATTAAAACCAAAGGATAAGCAGTATTATTCCAATATTTTCAAAACAATTGGGTAAAAAATAAATAGATTTTTTTTTATAATAGAAGCTGATGATCGTTTTAATGATGATTTCCGTCATCAAATCTCACATTGAGGGGTCTCGAATTTATATTTATTTATTGTTTACTTTTTTGTGTGTCAATAAAAAGAATCATTCACTCGTATTTAAAAATATTTTTACTTATGATTAAAAATAATACCAAGTTTTATTTCTTTTGGTATTTCCTGGAAAAACTTGATATTATGGTTTTGTTTCATGAATGTAGTACCAAATAAAAGGACATAAGAATAAGCTACGCAGGCCTGCGTCCCTTCGAGCAAAAAGATTGTAAATAATTTTTCAAATTCATCGCATTTGAAAAATTTTATATTAGAAGTATATAGTAGCAAATTTTTTTTATTGTAATATCATATATTTGAATATCTACACAGTATTATAAAAAAATGTACAAAACTATGAATATTCATTTATTTAAGTCCAGAAAGTTAATTTGTGATTGCATAGATTAAATTTTCTGGATTCATCAATATAATAGCAGTGCGGACTTCTAAATAACGTAGTTATGAATTTTTTTAGATATTTAACGCGTCAACGTGATCTAAGATGAGTTGATGGACTAAACATCCTGACAATTTGACAATTGAAATATATTGGAATAATATTTGTATTGCCAACTAATATTGGTTAACAGATTAAAATTTTTGTTTCTTTATTTTTTTTTAATGTTATCCATATTTTTAATATATTTATTGCAGTAAATAATCCAGATCTTTATTAGATATTAACTGACGATGTTTCTGACAAGATATAACTCATAATTATTCAAAATACATAGTGGCATGAAAGCCTTTTCTTCACAGTAATTTGAAAAATTAATCATTAAAACATTTTATTAATAAGTAGTTGTCTTAATTTGATGTCATTACTTTTTATGCAGTATATATGTCTAATTTTTTATACAGATATATATGTCTAAAAAGAGATAATAATATAATTGGTAATAGTAAATTCAATGTTTTAATAATTTTAGACATATATACAAATGTTAAAACTCTTCAACAATTGATAAATGAAGTAGTATTAATTATTCTGTTTTAATTAGACTACCACTATGACTGTTTACTGTAATTTAAAAATACATGTTTTAAAATGAAAATGATATAAAAATTAAACTGCAATTTGATTTCGTCTTTCGGCATTTAGGTTTTAATAGATGCTGCACGAAGTATTACCAAACGAAATTACATATTATGATCAGATATTTTATGGTATGAAGCCAAATTACCTATTTAATTTTGTATCTAATTAAAAAAAAAATACTAATGTAATCGCTAAAATATCCTTAGATTATATCTATGTTAGTTGTATTTTGAGGAATCTTATTAATGCGAAAAAAATGTCAGTTGTGTACGTTTTTAATAGAGAATTATTTTAATTATTGTAAAATAAGGCTTAGTCAAGTTTATCCAACATGTTCAGAAATTGTTATATCATGATTAGATAATTGATTTTTTTATTTCTTAGAATTGCAGCTAGTTATGCAGAAAGTAGCTATCTTTTATGAATATTCCAGGTAATGTAACTGTTTTCTGCATAACTGACCTCAAGTTATTTTTATGCTTATCTATATATCCATATATATATATATATATATATATATATATATATATATATATATATATATATATATATATATATATATTAATAAATACTACGTTTAACCAAATTTGAGTGTTAACAATTTTAATATTTTTGTTTAAGAGTCTTCACACTTAAATGCGGCAACGTCTGCATTATCTGTTAAATTTCAGAAGCAATTTTTAATATTTTTGAATGATTATCGGAAACCATTACTATGAACTATATATATGTCTCGCAGTCATATTAATATTTAAAGGGTAAAATTGTATTTAAATATTAATAAAAAAAATAATATGAATCTTATTACACTTTTTCAATTATCACTAACACAGATAAATATATACGTCTGAATTTTGACAGGTGATACAGATGTCGCCACTTTTGCAATACGAAAGGGTATATACTGCAAAACTAGCGACGTAACACATTTTAAAATGCACCAAATTAAAAAAGCTTTTTTTGTGGTAAAGTTCATATGTATTAAAGGTAAATATGGAAAGAATAGGTATTTATTAATGTTATCAGATATTTTTGCGTGTTGCAGTTACATTCCTGTAATGTAAATCGTGTAAATAGCTATAACAATAAAATCAGGTCACAATAAATATAACAACCTGCTTTATACTTTTTTGTTTCTTATTTTTATATAAATACCTATGGATTGATTTTATAAACTCGGTTTATACCTGCATACTGGCTAATATTTGAATTGACTAGTTGTTTTTGTTTAGGTCAAATTCGGGTCGCACAAATCATGGGTAGTAAATAAATAAATACTCGATACGACTTTTCCTGACAGTCCATTTGTATATTCAGTTGTCACATATGTCTGCACCAAAGTCGTGATAATTATACTTGTTAAGGTAACTAACTATTTTTTGTTCAAAAAGAGTACACTTTGCAAGTATTTGCAAAGTGTGCTCTTTTACGCAAGGTGAAAAAAAGAAGAAAAAACGAAAAATACTTTATTTTCTTTTAAAAACATATTTTTCTTCAAAATGAATTTTTTTTGCTAAATGAGGATATTCGTTTAATAATGTAGCCACATCCGGACAACTTTCATTTTGCATATTAAATTTGACTGTTAAGACGACAGATAATGTTTTTACAAAAAGTTGCGACTTCTCACTGCTCTAGTAATCATTCCCTAGTGAAAATACCCTTTCAACAGCAGCATTAGTGCCTGGACAACATAAGGAAATTTCTATTTAAATTTTTAAATGTTCATGTGGAATATGTTCTACTAAAATTCTAATGAAATTCAAATCACTGTCAAAATAATTCTAAATATTTAATTAATAAAATTAAAATAAAATAATCTAAAAAAAATGTTTTAGAAATACAAATGAGTATAAAATTATACAATTGAGTACTTTCAGGGTATAGGATTTGAAAAGAGTACGGTTTGCGAAAAAGAGTACAAAACTCAGTAAATGAGTATAGTTGATCACCTTATTAAGATTTAATGTTTAATAGTTACTGCAAAACAAGTTTCTTAAATGTTAGACGTCTTGCTGTAAGTTTTTTTTTATTTTTTTATTTTATTATCGATAAAAATACAAGTTACAGAATTTATGTTCCATTAGCATTTAGAAACCACGTAGGTTTATATTAATACTAAATACATTAAAATTATTTAAATTGTATTAAAACCATGCAAGAAGTATTGTTTTAATTTACACTTGATGTTGCTAATAGTAATGTTATCTCGTACATCGGTGGGTAGTTCGTTAATAAATTGAGGAACCAGGTAGTCAGCCGTACGCTCACCATAACAGTTATTTACGCGAGCGCTATTGGTACAAAGTTGCTTCCGTGCGACCGCCCTCGTATATACAGCATGATTAATTTCGTTTCAATATTTTTTGTTAAAAAAGTTTTCCTTAAGAAATGTGTATTTAAATTGTGGATGTACAGGTAAAATATTGCAATGTCGAAAAAGACCAGTATCATCGTCATAATACTGCATCTTAATTTTGGGAGATACAATAGTTCTTAAAATTCTACGTTGAAGTTTAAAAATATCATTTAAATATGTTTTATAAGTGCGGCCATAACTTGACAACCCATATTGAACATAAGATTCGACCAATGAATTATACAGCATCAATTTTACCTTAAAGGGAATTCGGTGTCTAAGGATGACTATATTAGCTAAAAATTGTCTTAATTTGTTACAAATTTTTTCGATGTGTTTACTCCAATTAAACTTACTATCTATAGTTAAGCCAAGATATGTTTGGCTGTCCTTGACCGTTATAGCGGGGCAGCTGCAAAAGTTCCTTTCATTAGTTATATGTAGACACTTGTGGTTGTGAGCAATGATAGGTTTATATAGAGGACGAAATTTTAAATAGGGTGATTTTATGATCAAAAGTTGTGTTTTAATTGGATTTGATACCAATCCGGCATCATGACACCATTCAAGAAGGACATTGACATCAGATTGTAGAAGGTCTCGTGCTTTTTGAATATTTTTGTCAGACAACACTAGACACGTATCATCTGCAAATTGGTAACATGAACTGTGTTTCAAGATATTATGCATATTATTAACATAAGACAAAAAATGTAGCGGACCTAATACAAATCCTTGTGCCGTACCTTCAGTTACTGGTACATGATCACTGTATACATCATCTATTTTAACGGTGAATTTACGATTTTGTAAATAGTTCTTGCACCAGTTGAGTAAAGGCCCACGTACACCAGACTCATCAAGTTTAGTAATTATTTGTGCATGTTTTAGGGTACCAAAAGCACGGGAAAAGTCTATGAATAAAGCCAACACGTATTGTTTTTTATTGAGATGTTCATTAATCTCATCTGTAAATTTAGATAACAGCTGACTAGTACTTTTACCCGATTGAAAACCAAATTGATTTTGGTAATTTACATCTTGCTTACGATAAAATTTATGAATTTGTTCGCAAACATATTTTTCAACTATTTTGTCTATTGTAGAAAGTAAGGTAATGGGACGATAGTCTAAATATAATAGTATATATGTACATTGTTTAATTGGCATATACATTTTTAAAAGCCATTATATCTAAAATCTTTGGGGTCCATAAAGATGTATAATCGCTAACTGCATAGGAATCGCCAGTTTTCTCAAGGAACGTAGCATTAAGGTCGTAGTCGACGGTGCATGCTCTGATTTAAAACCTTTGAATGCTGGTGTCCCGCAAGGCTGTGTACTATCTCCGACTCTGTTTCTTCTGCATATCAATGATATGTTACAGATAAGTAATATTCATTGCTATGCGGACGACAGTACAGGAGATACATTATATACCGGTCATGCAAAGATCTCGCGGGCACATACCGATGAGTGCCGGAATAGACTTGTGTCTGAAATCGAAACTTCACTCCATCAAGTTTCGATCTGAGGTGAACAAAATCTTGTTCAATTTAACCCCAAAAAGACACAAGTCTGCGCGTTTACCGCAAAAAAGACGCCGTTTGTCGTATCTCCTCACTTTCAGGGCACTTCCCTTGATAAAAAGTCAAGTCTAGGAATTCTGGGCGTTGATATATCTTGCGACGTCCAGTTTTGCGGTGATCTGGAGGAGAAGGCTAAGATAGCTTCCAAAAAGTTAGGAGTGCTCAATAGGGTGAGACGATATTTCATGCCAGAACACCGCCTGAAATTATATAAAGCCCAAGTCAGGCCGCATATGGAATACTGTTCTCACCTGTGGGCAGGAGCGCCACAGTACCAACTCCTTCCGTTAGACCGCATTCAAAGTCGGGCGGCTCGAATTATCGATAGTCAACGCCTTACTGTCCGGCTTGACCCATTGAAACTGCGCAGAGATGTTGCATCTCTGTGCATCTTCTACCGAATTTATCATGGGGAGTGTTCTGAGGAATTGTTCGGATTGATACCTGCTGCTGATTTTCACCACCGTACAACCCGCCACAAACTAAAGTTTCATCCCAATCATCTGGACGAGTGGCGGTCTTCCACCGTGCGTTTTTCAAGGCACTTTCTTCCACGCACAACCATTCTTTGGAATCAACTTCCAGCAGCAGTATTTCCGAACCGATACGACAACATAACCTTCAAGAAAAGAGTATATTCCTTTTTAAAAGGCCGGCAGCACACCTGCAATGCCGCTGGTGTTGTGGGTGATCATGGGCGGCGGTAGTCACTTACCATCAGGTGAGCCGCATGCTCGTTTGCCCCCTGTGTTGTAAAAAAAAAAAAAAAAAAAAAAAAATATTACGTGAATTCGATAGGTTTTATTAGAAAGTGGTAAACATCGTCTATAGATATGAAAAACGTTATAAATATAAAACATACTATGACACCGGTAACTTGACAGGTGTAGAAAACAGCAAAACTATTTTCAATTTCAACATATAATTTTCTTGACCTTTCATGTGATTTTACCATGTTTTCAAAAATTCTTAGTGTCTATTTAATTTTTATGGAACCTTTCATTTCAAGGTATGGCATTGGGCCTTTTAAGATAAGGCATTGCTTCTCAACTCCTCTCCTCCTATCTATGGCCTTGAAGGTACGTATATGAATTTTGATAGGTATTTATGTGATCATGAATTAAAGTTTAATACCGGCACCTAATTATTATTGTTTTTTTTTTAAAAGGGTTATCATATCCATAAACTAAATTAAAATAATGTTTAGTGATACTGATTCGTCCTATTATTCATTATAGACGGTTATATTAGTTAGACAGAGACCGAAAATATATCGTAAATAATATATGCAAATTAAGATTTTCTACATACAATAAATTGTCTATAATTATTTTTTTTTCGTTGACTTATTTTTGTTTATCTCACTGAAATAACTCTGTAGTGAGTAACGGAACGTAGATTAATCATCACCGCTATATGACGTTTCTTATGTCAAAAATACTCTTATAAGTGTATGATTTGGTTTACCGCACCCAATTTTTTTTATCTTATTATTAGTTAATGTTAGTTTATACACCACAAAGTGTGAATAATTCAACAAAATGGACCACTTGCCGGCTTGTGTTATTGATGTCGGCACCGGATATACAAAACTGGGGTTCGCCGGCAACAAGGAGCCGCAGTTTATCATTCCGTCGGCCATCGCTATAAAAGAAACTGCGAAAGTTGGTGATCAATCGACTCGGCGTATGACGAAAGCCGTCGAGGATCTGGACTTCTTTATAGGAGATGAAGCTTTTGACGCGACAGGATATTCGGTGAAGTATCCGGTACGCCACGGCTTAGTAGAGGATTGGGATTTAATGGAAAGGTATATTGAGCAATGCATATTCAAATACTTAAGAGCCGAACCGGAAGACCACCATTTCCTACTCACTGAACCACCGTTGAACACGCCTGAAAATAGAGAGTATTTAGCTGAAATAATGTTCGAGTCATTCAATGTACCTGGATTGTACATTGCTGTGCAAGCCATGCTGGCGCTCGCTGCGTCATGGAAATCACGAGCGCCAGCGCAGCGTACCTTTACTGGCATTGTGGTTGATAGTGGGGATGGTGTGACTCATATTGTTCCAGTAGCGGAAGGTTATGTTATTGGCTCATGTATTAAACATATTCCCGTTGCGGGTAGGAACATTACTTCTTTTATTCAGTCACTTCTTCGTGAGCGGGAAGTTGGGATACCCCCAGAGCAAAGTTTAGAGACTGCAAAAGCAATCAAGGAGAGATTCAGTTATATTTGTCCTGACATTGCTAAAGAGTTTGCTAAATATGACTCAGACCCAGGCAAATGGATGAAGAAGTATACAGGTGTGAATGCTATTACTAAAAATCCATTCACAGTTGATGTTGGATATGAAAGATTTTTAGGCCCAGAGATTTTCTTCCATCCAGAGTTCTCAAATCCAGATTTTACTGTCCCTCTTAATGAGATGGTGGATGAAGTTATTCAGTCATGTCCAATAGATGTGAGAAGAGGACTGTATGGGAATATTGTGCTTTCTGGTGGATCCACTATGTTCCGTGACTTTGGAAGACGATTACAGAGAGATATAAAAAGAACTGTGGATGCACGACTTAAGCTTTCAACGATGTTATCTGAAGGCCGCATCACCCCAACACCTATTGATGTTCAAGTTATTTCCCACTACATGCAGCGTTATGCAGTTTGGTTTGGTGGTAGTATGCTTGGATCAACTCCTGAATTCTACCAAGTGTGTCATACTAAACAAGCATACATGGAGTATGGACCTAGTATCTGTAGACACAACCCTGTTTTTGGCACCATGACATAATTATTATCTTTGTTTACTGCCAGTATTAAGTCAAATTATAATAATGAAAATCATTATTATATAATAATTAAGTGTTATGAATTTATTAAATATAAAGAGCATTTTACAAGGAAGCCTGTTACTTTAAGTACCATAAATTTTTTATGTTTTTATTAATTACATTTAGAGTCAAGCCAAATTAAACTGTTAGCAATACTTATGTAGCACAATACACATATTTTAAATATTATGTTAAAATTCAGTTCTCAAAATAGAATGATATATTATTAAACCTATTTTATTAATAATTTTAATTACTTTTTTGTATAAATTGGCTGGAGTCTCTGTATTAGTGGCATTTAATATTGCATTCCAGCTTTTTACCAAATAAAATCTTACTCTTGAAGATAAATTATTTATTCTTTTAATTTAGAATATTACTCTAAAATAGTTATAGTCGACTGCAAGATTATTATACTATTTAAAAAATAAGATATTATTCTGTTTGATAACTAAATTACTGTACTGATTTATATGGATATTGAAGGAATACTCTGAAATGCTTTGAACTAGTGAATTGTATGCTGCTTAAAATCCCTTTGTGTATAATCTTATATTGTCTGAATCGATTTTTACATCAAACTTTTATTAAATCTGCTTTTTTTAAAAGAAAACATATCATTATTGACAACTACCAATCCTTAACATTTATAATACAATATCTAGGTATTTTATAATACTTGGCGTTCTCTATGTTATATACATATTATTATAAATGACCTCAGATGCAATTAGAAGACAAAGTTAGATATTAATACATGTTAAATATTGCTGCTTATTATTAATTTTATTACAATATTAGGCACATTGTAGGTACATTACATCTATTCAAGTTTAATTTAGAGTCTGTAAGAAGTATTAAGCCAAATGAAATATTCACAATATTTCAAGATTTTATATTTAACAAAGTTCTTTTTTTTTCGGATATAATCCGTAACATGTATTAATAAAAAGTTTACTTTTGCACACTAATATCACAGCTAGTACAGTCTTATCTGTGATTGCATTATCAAAATATAGAATACTGTTTTGTAAACAGTTTATCAAAAATTTACTAATTTGTTAAGCTAGTGATAAAATATTTTGCAGTATATCGTATAACTTAGGTGTTAGATCAGTCTGGATTTTCAGCCCATATTTATGATTTTAAAATATTTATCTTTGCGTTTTATAGTAAAAGTATGACACTGCACGGTTATAATGTGACTAGACTAGGGTTATAATCCTTAGTAACATAAAATGGCTTTGCCATAGATTATGGATATACACTGCGTTTAAAAGACACAGAAATGTTAGAGTTGCTCTTTTCATTCCTCGTTTCTAATTAATGTGTTCATGAACATAACTGATGCCGAATAGACGCTAACAGTGAGAAAGGGATAGGGTTGGCACTGTGAAAAAATTAATATTTTTTAATTTTATTTAATATTTTCTTTAATTGTAACGATTTAAAAAAAATATATAACGGAATGGTAACCCAGCTTGCGCTATCTCTATATATTGATGCGGCACTCGTAACGGATGATGCTTATAGATGAGCATGAAAGCAAGTTAAATTGGCTCATCGTGACAGACTACGAGAATTGACCACCATGACTTCCCGGAAGGATCACGTGGAGGTCGTATGGAAATGCCAGTTCCTGTTTTTAACAATCTCTTACTCTCATAATTATGATGATATAACTGATCTATCCATATTAGCCAAGTTAGTTTGTTGTGTTGTTTGTAAGTTGAAGTCGGTATTTTTTTTGTGGAAAAAAGGTAAATAATTTTAGCAATGTAAAGTTAGATAACGGAGATTCTGAAACACCATTTTCCTAAATATATTTATGAAATTAAAATATCATTTTCATAATACAGTAAAATCTTTATTCTAAGGATCAATATAAACAAAGTTTTAATAGATTTAATTCAAATTCAAGTTATGGAATTCATTACCTGTTGTCATTAGAAGTACAAAATCCATTGATGCTTTCAAGCGACAAGTGAAAGATTATCTCTCTATTTGATTGATTCGTCATTTGATGAATTGACATTCTTTATTTATGTATTTATATAATTATTTATTTTATGTTAATTTGATTTCCTTGAGCTCATAATGGTTTATATTGGTTCTAGTATTAGGTACATATTTAACATATGTATAGGACTATATATTGTATACAGTTAATAAATTTATTTCTTGTATTTGATAAAGGCACTTATAATTATTTTTCTTAATGTTTTACGCTGTTTACTTTCTTAATTATACAATACTAATACCTACTTGTATAACATGTACCTACATTAGTCCATTACCCTAAGGTTGTCTTCAAAAGATTGCTCTCAGCTATAAGATCGACATAAGTACTATACTTACCCAATTGTATCGTTTTATTAGTTAATTGTCTTATTTGTTTTCTATATTGTATAATGTAACTAAAGTATACTCATTCATTCATTTAAAATTACTATAAATTTAGTTCTTGGCGATCTTAAAAAAAATAATTTCGGGAAACTATCAAATTAAAATATTAGGTTAAGAGGTAAATTTAGACAAATGGTCGATTCTGAAAGTGCAAAAAAAAATGTATCGTTTTGAAATTCCGTAAAATGTATCTTGAGGTATCTGTGTTTTTAGCCTTAAAAATACTTTTTAACCAACATGAAAAAGGAGAAAGATTTCGATTTATGTTTTTATTTTTTGTATAGTTTAAGCGATGTCTTCATTAATTCTGTTTCGATTTGTTACTGCTACAAGTATTTTTGCCATCGATATTTATATATTCAAGTGTAGGTCTTGTACCTATAAATTTTGTCACATTTGAAGCTGTAGAGTTCGTTGAAAGCAAAAACATGAAGTATTTTGTATGGGTAAGTACGTAAACGTTCATTATCTACTTATGTGTATTATGCCTATAATCTATTAAGCTATTTACAAATGGTTTAGCGCACGAATAGTCTCGGTAGAGGCGATCGACGTGTCTGAGAATGTCCTTTCCTTATTCGCACCGACAGATCCAAATGTCTATTGAAATTCCTATTAGTAGAGATCCTAACTATTGTGATTAAATCTTTGATATTAATATTATTATCTATGTCAGTGGGTAGATTTAAAACCACATTCATACCACTATATCAATTTAAGTTTTAAATTAGACATTTCGCCATGATATTGACATTTCATTTTGTATTTAAGTCTAGCTAACGGCTCCACTCACGTGAATCAGTACATAAAGAATCCTGTGTGCTAAGTTAGGATATAACCTACCCGCAAACCAAATTTCATTCAAATGCGTTAAGTAGTCTTTGCATGAAAGAGAAATAAATATTAATATGTCAATCCATCCATCGTTGCAAACTTTCGTATTTATTATATTAATAGAATTATTATCCATATATGTATGCACTTTGAAGCTATATTCATATCTTAAGGTGGGCACCAGGAAATTTTATTCTTAGCACAGCCCACTCGGCTCCCACCTACAATATGCCTATGTTAACAATATATATAAAGTAACTATATACCTACCTATAATGTTTTATAAGCAGGATGTAAACACGAGATAAAACAGGTATGTGACTTACAGTTATAAATAAGTACATATATATATATATATATTTATTAGAACGTGGGTGTTGTAGAGATACTCTCGTTTCAGTTAGACGTATGTGTAATAATTATATTGTATTCTACAATCTTTATTGTATATAATTTACATTGGATACATATAAATTATTTAATATACAATGGCGTACTTATCCCATAGAAGGATCACTTACAGTCAATATTTGAGAAGCTGAAATAAAACTATAGAATGTTTGAGGGTAAAAACTGTACAGTTAAAGATAATTATATTATTATTTTGTATTTATTCAATATTTTTTTCCATGTAGATTTTACTGTACAACCGCATATAGTCTTGAATTATTTTATATAAATATTCAATGCGTAAATAAAAATATAAAATATAATCGTCACAAAATTTAACGCAATACTGATGATTCTATTATTATTTAGTATTAAGCGCTGCACCTTTAATAAATGAATTATAATGAAATGGCAGCCCTGGCAAAACGCCATCCCTATCTACTTGTTTCGAATTACCAGGTGATGGCAACCTATTACGAGTTTTTACAAAGCGTCAGTTCTAATTAGTCCGGAACGCAAACGAGAACGTGTCTCGTATAAAAGGCGCGATTTCCAAACGAACGGCCCGATTGTATGACTAGGTAGATAGGTACTCAGTATTACATCGCACATACTCTTTTGATTTTTGTTGCTTTTGGTACAGTTTGTTTAATTGGCAATTAAGTGTGTCATAATATTGAAGAATGACCAGACAAACTTTTGGTATGACATGTATGGTTTGCAATTTATAATGTATTTTGCACCACAAGATAAAAAAAAAATACCGTGATCTCGAACACTAACAGAAAAATAAATGGAAAAATGTTTCGTAGATACAATAGACTGAAAATATCATCATATCAACCGTTATGTGTCCACTGCTGAACATAGACCTCTTCCATAGACTGCCATAAGGAACGGGACTATTCTTTATGAGAGGGATTTTACCCGTAGTTATCACGCTTAGCAGGCGAATTTCCAACCGCAGTTTAGCATTTTTTTAGAGAGAGTTTAGTCGGACGTTGTGGCCCATCTTTCGACCTTTAAGTTTCCTTAGTTGTCTATTATGACATCCACGGAAAAGGAAGGGGTGGCCCATTCTATGCCGGAACCACACAACAAAACTGAAAATATATTTAATTAGAATTAGATTGCATCAAGTGTCTACAAATACTTCGCTTACTCGTAGATGTATACATATGTATATATTAATTCCCGAAATTGAAATATATACGGGTTTTACTTGGCCGGTTTTTTTCATTACACATTTTCTTTCATTGTGCACGAGTTCAATATAATGTTTTTTTTTTTGTTAAAGTCAAAAACTTTATTTTCCGCACTGGAAATATAATAAAAGAGAAACGAACTCAGTTTAAGAATTTCTTATGAACATGTAAGTTTGCTTCGGCATCGCCACAAGAAGTTGAGAAAAGTAAATAGAATACTTAGTTTGAATTCTTTGAACTCTAAAGTTGAACCGACATAAGGCACTGGTAATAGGAAATCTTGCCAACTCTTCAAGGGCTGAGAACAAATGTACCTAGTTTACAACTCGAGCTGGAGTTTATTAACTCAAATACTTAATACATTCTCGGAAATTTAACCGGAGGTTTAACCGAAATCGTCTTTTCAAAGATAATTTTGGTACAACACTGCACAAGTTATATAACATTTTTTGTCCAATTCTAATAATTCTTTGTTTTAAATATTTTTTTTATTTTGATTCTGTTTGTTTTGATGGA